TTTTAATCTTGTTCTTGGTTGTGCAATTTTATACTTTAGATTGTGTCATTAACCTCCCGTTTTGCAAGGTCATACAAAATTTTAGCAAGGTCTCAACTGAACATCTTGCAAGATCGTACAGAATTCGTAAAGATTGCATAAGTTTAGTACTATTGTGGACATACAATTTGGTATGGTACCTTTGGAGATTGACTCTAAGTTGTTATTGAAGAACACTACTCAGGGGTGTTTTGAAGATATGGGTAATTTCGCTTTGCCACCATCGTCTGCAGTTCCGTCGTGTTCAATTGTAGGGAAGGACTAATTGAGAATATGAACGATTTTGTTGATGTCGATGTTTATGCTTTTGGGGTCTTTGAAGGTGTCGAGACTAGCAAGGGGCCTTCGGTTAAAATATTGGTTAGATTTTGCTACAGGGTGTGCTATGACCTTGTTTGGTAAATTTTGAATTCCTTGGGAATTTTGGGAACCCGATGTTTGGGTTTGGTACCATATGTGAATACTAGAGTGGAGGAAGAGCGTTTTCGTAAGGTGGAGAGATTTGGTACTATTTGAAGAAATCAGTCTATTTCGCTGCAGTCAGAATTATTTTTGTAGGTAGAAAAATTTTTGGAGCTTCGTTCATTGCACTGAAATTTGTGCCAAGGTAGAGATTGTTAGGTTTGGTGACCCAAATTAGGTTTGCGGTTTCGTGTTTTGGATGATTGGGATTGAAGATGTCAAAATAGGATCCGAAAAGGAAAAGTCAAAACTTACAACAGTGGACGGTCGCTCAACTATTGGATGATTTGGATCAGAAACCAGTCGCTCGCCTATCATTGAGCTATCGCTCGAGCAACGATGTCGCATGAATTTTTTCCTTATTTCGTTTTACGAGTATTTTGACAAAGTTTCCATATCTTATATGATTTCTAGGGTTTGGGACATCCCCGATAAATGTGTGGCTCTTCATTCAGTTTAGAAAAATCATTATTTTTGAGTTGTAATATCTCTCATTGGTTGTCAATAAAACATTTGTTTCCTCTGCAAATCTTCTTCTTTACTTTTAATCTTGTTCTTGATTTTGCAATCTTATATTTCATATTGTGTCATTGATCTCCCTGTTTTTTTCCCAACACAAACTGCCCCCACACTAAAATTAGAAATTCAATTTTGCCAATAATTTTTCAAGTTTTTCAAAAAAGTCATTGTAATTTTTAATTTTTGCCCTCACGATCAATTTTTTTTTTTTGGTAATTTGCCCCCACAAAACTTTTCTTCTGGCTCCGCCTTGTCTTTATCAATCGATGGCCAAGGGTTGTTTGGTCAATCATGCCTATATAATGAGTAGTTGCTTAACCATGTATACACCAGTCACAATTTCTGCACCTACTGTCATTAAAATAGTTCAATGTCAAACTTCTCTAGAAAAGGATATGAATAGCAGGTTACAAAGAATCAAAATACACAAATTCCAACTGGCCAACATCAACAAGTTTTCTTACTTCCTCTTGAACTTCTGGACATTGCTCTTCCTATTATCTACTGAAATTGCCTAATATAATAGCAACTCATTCTTCACAACAAGGAATCCATCATGTATATACTAGCATTACACAATGTATTTATGCACAGTTCTCATCTCTAAGAAGAGAAGCAATTAACTTGTTTAAAAATCTTTCATTCACTCCTAGTAATAGTGAATTTCAATCATTATGCATATGCACACAGTATATTTTTCGCATAAGATCCACATGCCAAGGATTTTCCTCTTCTTTTTTTTATTGGTGGTGGTATGCTTATCAGTTGAGTAGAACAGAGAGTTGATGCAATTCAACTAACTATTTACTTGTGTATTCAATGTACAAATACGGTGATATTTTTCCAGCCTCATTTGTTCCACTAGCAAGTAATTTTCAGTATAAGGTTGAGAAAAGACATGAATACAAAATCATATACAGTAATATGCCCGATTTCAAATCCAAGAAAATGAAGATTTCGTCATGACTATAAAATTTGCTAATCCTCGATACAGATTAGTGGATCCATCCAGACCCAATTGTGGATATTTAGTAGCCTACATTTCACATTGTACAAGCATGTTCAAGCAATTACTACAAGAAGTGGAGTTCAATTACCATAGATTAATGTGAAGAGACTGGGTGCAGATAAAGAAACAGTACCTTCTTTTGACGAGGAGCAGACTTACCAGACCAGAGAAGCAACTACCAAAGAGAGTTTAAATACACCACGGGAAAAAGTAACCACTCCTGTCATCAATATGAGCCCCAACTCCATTTTCTCAGAGATTGAAGAAGCATAAGATAGATCATCAATTCATGAAATTTTTGGAGGTTTTCAAGAAACTTGACATAAACATTTTGTTGGCTGAGCCACTCACTCAGATACCCAGCTATGCCAAATTCTTGAAAGACATCCTATCGAACAAACGCAGGCTGAAGAAGTAAGAAATGGTGATGTTGATAGAGGAATGCAGTAATAGAATTTAGAAAAAGCTTCTTCCAAAGCTAAAAGATTAGGGAGTTTTACTATACCCTACATCATAGGAAATTATTATTTTGAAAAAGCATTATATTATTTGGGTGCCAGTTTTAACTTAATGACACTCTTTGTTCTGAGGAAATTGGGATTAAGGGAACTAAGTCAACTATAGACAATCTACAAGTAGCTGATTAATCACAGACTCATCCACGATGAATCATTGAAGATGTTTTGGTAAAGGTGGAGAAACTCATATTTTCAATGGATTTCCTCATAATGGACATGGAAGAAGACAAGCTCTCATAAATGTACAGCGAGGTCAATTAATTCTAAGGCTGGGAGAGAGCAGGTCTCTTTCAATGTGTTTAAAGTGATGAAATATCCTATTGAGTCAGCCAGCTGTTTTCATATCAATGTGCTTGATAGAGTAATTCATGACACCTTTCGGTTGCAAAACCCGTCAGACGCGTATGAGGTTTATATTGTGCATTCTTATTCCACTCACAATGATTCTACTGAGATCAAGGTTTGTGCAAGATATATGGAGACAACCCCACGATACCTGTGAAATGAAATTTTGAGGAGTTGGGAACCGGACCTCCAAAAGCACTTCCATCAATTCAACAACCACATAAGTTAGAGCTCAAGCAACTACCATCTCATCTATGTTATGCTTATTTAGGGGAATCGTCTACACTTCTAGTCATAATTTCGAACTCAATTAGCAAGATGGAGTAGAGATTACTTTGGGTACTCACAGAAAATCAAACAGCTATTGGGTGGTCTATTACTGATATAAAAGTGATCAGCCCTTCACTTTACATGCACAAAATTTTCATGGAGGAAAATTTCAAACCGAGCATAGATGGCTAGCGGAGGCTTATTCCAAACATAAAGGAGGTGGTTAGAGCAAATGTGATTATACTTTTAGATGCAGGAATATTTTATCCTATCTCAGACAATGTTTGGGTTAGCCTAATTTAGGTCGTGCCTGAATAAAGGAGGCATTACAGTAGTTCAAAATGAGAAGAATGAATTAATACCACCTAGACTATTACGGGATGGAGAGTTTGCATTGATTACGGAAAACTCATTACTGTTACTTAGAAGGATCACTCTCCCCTCCCTTTCATTATCAGATGTTGGAGAAGCTGGCAAGTCACTCACATTATTGATTTCTCAATGGACATTCAGGATATAATCAGATTCCAAAAGCATCAGATGACCAGAAGAAAACTACTTTCACTTGTCCCTATGTTACTTTTAGCTACCGTAGGATGTCTTTCAGTCTATTCAATGCCCTTGCCACCTTGCAGTAGTGTATGATGGCCATCTTCTCTGATATGATGGAAAAATTCATAGAGAACTTTATGGATAACTTCTCAATTTTTGGGTCTTCTTTTAATGAATGGTTGGAGCATCTGAGCTTGGTATTACAGCGATGCAAGGAGACAAACTTGGTATTAAATTGGGAGAATTTCCATTTCGTGGTACAAGAGGGCATCATTTCGGGACATCGTATTTCTACTAAGGAAATTGAGGTAGACATAGCAAATATCCAAGTTATCGAGAAATTATTGCCACTTACATTAGTTAAGGGTATTCACAGTTTTCTTGAGCATGCCAAATTTTATCGATGATTCATTAAGGATTTCGTATAGATTACAAAGCCCCTCTACAATTTGCTAGTTAAGGATGTCCCTTTTGAATTCTCTTAGGAATGCTTAGTGGCTTTTAACATTCTAAAAGAGAAGCTTATCTCAGCACCTGTCATCGTAGTGTCGGATTGAAGTTTACTGTTTGAACTAATGTGCGATGCTAGTGATTATGCAACAGGAGCACTGTTGGGACAACGAAAAGAAAAATGTTTCATGTGATCTACTATGCATGCAAAACGTTGAAGGATGCAAAGCTCAACTATACCACTACCAAGAAAGAACTCCTAGTTCAATCCTATCTTGTTGGGTCAAAGGTCATAGTCTACATTGACCATGCTGCATTGAAATACTTGATGACAAAGAAGGAAATTGATTTAATCTAAAAATTAGAGATAAAGAGATAAGTGAAAATGTGGTAGTTGACCACTTATCTTGACTAGAGTAGGGAAATCAAAATAAGTCAGTGGAAATTAACAAGTTTTTCCTAGACGAGCAGATGTTTAGCGTAGAGGTTACACCTTGGTATGCTACATTGTGAATTATTTGGTTAAATCTATTCCTCCACCAGATTACTAGAGTCATCAAAGAAAGAAATTCTTTTCTGACTTGAAATACTACTTTTAGGAAGATTCCATTCTCTATATGGGAGGTATTATTTGGCGATGTGTTCCCGAGTAAGAAGTACCTCGCATACTTGAACATTGTCATTCATCTGCTTATGCGGGGCATTTTGGTGCTTCAAAGACTGTTGCAAAGATTTTATAGTCTAGATTCTACTGGCCTACAATATTTCAAATACTTTGAGTTTGTGAAGAGGTGTGGCAATGTCAGCGTACATGAAATATCTTGAGAAGGAATGAGATGTCTCCAAATAGTATTCTAGAGGTAGAACATTTTGATGTGAGGGGGATTAACTTTATGGGACAATTTCCTCCATTGTTCTCGAATCAATATATACTTGTGATAGTTGACTATGTCTCCAACTTGGTAGAAGCAATAGCATTACCAACCAAAGATGCTAAGGAAGTGATTGGGTTTCTAAAGAAGTATAATTTCACAAGCTATGGCACACCACAAGCTATTGTAAGTGACAGGGACATACATTTTTGCAATCGCCAATTTGAATTGTTGTTATCTAAATATGGCGTCCGGCATCGTATAGCCACCATATATCACCCTCAGACCAGTGGGTAACTTAAAGTCCCAAATCGGGAATTGGAATAGGATATTCGAGATAAACAGTGAGTTTTTCAAGAAAGGATTAGTCTAAGAAGCTAGACAATGCTTCGTGAGCTTACGAAATAGCATTCAAAACACCTATAGGCATGTCTTTTTATTGTCTAATTTTTGGAAAAGCATACCACTTACTAGTTGTATTGGAGCATCGTGCTTATTGGGCAATTAGAAACTTGAATTTTGATTTGAAGGCGGCTAGTGAAAAGCGATTGCTTCAATTGAATGAAATGAATGGATTTCGACTGGGAGCATATGAGAATGCAAAGCTTTATAAGGAACACACCAAAAAGTGGCATGACATTTATATTCAGAGAAGAGAGATTGAGGTGAGGCAAAAAGTTCTTTTGTATGACTCTAGACTCAAGATCTTTCTAGGAAAGTTAAGGTCAAGGTGGTCCAGTCCATACACAATAACCAATGTATTCCCACATAGAGCTATGGAGAACACTTACAAGAGCAAAGGGACATTTAAAGTTAATGGACAATGGTTGAAACATTACTAAAGTGGGGAATTCTCAAATGAAAAGTCCATCGTTCATCTGAAAATACTAGAGTAGACTACCCAAAAATCGAGTGCTTGATGGAAGCAACCCATTTTTCTATCCCTTTTAACTCATTTTGATTAATTATTGTATTACATGTAGTTTAGGGAGTGCATTAATAATTTAGGATCATATTTCAAATTTTGAGCATCAAAATGGTATTAGTACATTTTAGATATTTTCACAAACTCATTGTAGGCACTTAAACATGAATTTTTACACTTAATTTTTAGACTTCAACATATAAACATTCACTTTATCACAAAAAAGGCTGCATGTGAACTGGGCGAGTGCTCAGCTTTAACATTCAGGCTCTCGCTTGCATACGTTAAAGGCTAGCAAGCCTTTAACAACAAAACTAGGTGCCTACATGGTTTTACACTGGGTGATTGCCCAGGTTTTCAAAAATAAATAAATTTGAAATCAATTTTAAAATAAATTTCAAGCCAATGTCAAGAGGCATTAGACCCCAGAATGCCAAGAGGCATTTGAAATGCAGATTGGCAAACTAACCTCAGCATCCATAATGCAACCACCTGATTGGACATTGCTATTTGAAATTATGTGTGATGCAAGTGATTACGCAATAGGTACTGTCCTTAGGCAACGAAGAAAAGGTAAGCCTTTTGTCATTTACTATGCTAGTAGAATACTAAACGGTGCTCAAATAAACTATTCCACTACTGAAAAGAGTTAATACCTGTAGTCTTTGCACTAGATAATATTAGCTCTTATTTGATTAGGTTTCCTATTACAATTTTTACAGATCATGAAGCCCTTTAGTATCTTCTTGCAAAGAATGATGCTAAGGTGCGTTTAATGCAATGGATTTTACTTTTGCAAGAATTTGACATCACCATTAAGGATAAAAAAAAGAGTGGAGAATATGGTGGTAGACCATTTGTCAAGGCTGACTATTGAAGATAACATGAACCCCTTGCCAATTAGAGATGAATTTCTAGATGAGAATTTATTTTCTTTTTCTCTACCATGGTTTGATCATATTGTAAATTACTTGGCTGCAAGTAAAATCCCAACAGAGTGGAGTGCACAAGAAAAGAGAAAGTTCATGGTTGAGGTACGAAGTTTACGTTGGGATGATCCATACCTATTTAAATACTGTCCCAATCAGAGTTTGAGATGTTGTGTCCCTGATGGGGAGATACCCATCGTACTCAATTTCTATCATGCCCAAGCATGTGAGGCCATTTCTTTATGAAAAAAACTGCTACAAAAATTTTGCAATGTGGTTTTTACTAGCCCACTTTATTAAAGACACCAATGCATACTGTAGAACTTGTGAAAGGTGCCAAAAGCTTGGTGCTTTGTCCCAACGTAATATGATGCCATTAAATCCCATTTTGATAATAGAAATATTTGATTGTTGGAGAATTGACTTTTTGGGACACTTTTCACCTTCATTTGGCTATTTGTATATCATTGTGGTAGTACACTATGTGTCTAAATGGATAGAGGCAGCAGCTTGTAGGGCCAATTACAATAAAAACGGTTGTTAAATTTCTTAAAGAAATGTCTTGTCTAGGTTTGGCACACCACAAGTTATTATCAGTGATAGAGGCACACACTTTTGTAATCGTTCATTTGAAGAAATAATGAAAAAGTATAGGGTGTTCATAAAATTTCTATTGCTTACCACCCCCAAACTAGTGGACAAGTAGAATTGGCTAATAGGGAAATTAAATAAATCTTGGAGAAAATGGTAAACCCCAATCGTAAAGATTGGTCTTTAAGACTAAATGATGCACTTTGGGCTTACTGTACGACTTTTAAGATCTCCTCAGGCACGGTACCTTATAGACTTAATTTTGGAAAGCCTTTGCCACAAACCTGTAGAGCTTGAGCATTGAGCCTATTAGGCCTTCAAATATTTTAACTTTGATCTAGAAGAGGGAGGTAAGTTTAGGAAGTTTCAATTGACTGAGTTGGAAGAGTTAAGAAATGATGCTTATATGAGTTCTAGAATCTACAAGTCAAAAATGAAAGTATTTCATGATAAAAAACATTTTGAGAAAAACTTTTGAACCAAATCAGAAAGTATACTTGTACGATTCTAGACTTCACAAGCACCTAGGAAAACTTTGCTCTAGGTGAACTAGCCCCTTTAGGGTGAAACGAGCTTTTAAAAATGGGGCAGTTGAAATTAAGGACCCTAATGATGGTAGGGTATTCAAAGTAAATATATATANTATGCTTCCAAGTGTATAGTAGGTATTGAATGTCCATTTGAGAATAATAGTAACGGGGAAAGGGATAAGAGTTGATAAGTGCTCGAGTGAAGTAATAAAACATAAAAGAGAAGAAAAAGAAGAAGATGAGGAATTTATTGAAAATAAATGAAAAAGGAGAAAAAGAAAGAAAGGAAAATGAGGATTGATTTTGGGATTGAAAGTTGAGGAATGCATTGATTAAAGGACATGATCTATTAAAATACTTGATGAGATGCCTAACTATGTATTTGAAAGTCCTTGAATCCTTATGCCTTTCTTTTCATATAGCCCAACCCAAGCCTCATTACCACCTTTTCTATGTTTTGATTCCAATGTTTGGCTTGTTGCTTGTTAATAAATACTTAAGCCCCCATGTTTTGAGTGTACCTATTCCTCAACTCCATAGAGAGAAATACTGCACTAAACACTTTGATACCCCGTGAGTTATTGAGCTGAACCTTTAGCTAGAGACATACTTGATGTTGTATGTGTTAGGATTAGCAGTAAGATGGACACACACTCACAAATTTTGTAAGTATTTTTGAAATAATCATGACACTGTTAACTTCTTGTAGTGTTGATGCTAGTGACGATATCAATCGTGATGACTTGTTTTACGTAAAATCGCTAGGGACTAGTAATAAACAAGTTGGAAGTGTGATAATGACGTAAATTTTTAGGTTTTTCATCCATTAATCCTTGCATTTTTATGATAAATTGATGCCTAAATGTACTCAGTACTTTTATATTTTGATTTAGGTTGCAAATGGATTAATACGGTGGAAATTGGAAGAAACAAGCGAAAAAGGACAAAAATGGAAGAGTAAAAAGTTCAAGGACCAAATTGCAAATATCTAAAAGATAAATCGGAAGGTGAAATGAAGGTTTGAAAGAATTGAAGGCTAACTGGAAGAAGACAATAAGCATTGGAAGAAGTAAGAACGAGAAAAGAGACCAATAATCGAGGAAACGAAGTTTAGGGACTAAAATGTAGCATGGCGAAAGCTGTTAAAGCCATGCGGTCGCATGGCCACCTTCAGAGAATTAAGGCACGACAATTATTGAACCCTGCAACCGCAGCTTGGTCTCTTTTAAGGCGTGAAGTTTGGTTACCTAATTTAAGTTAAACTCTTATGGAAACACATATCTTTCACGATATTCTAGATCATCCCATAATGTAGAAGCCACATCTCCATACCTACTTTTCTCTGGTTTTGTGCAAGAATTTGTGGAGAACTAAAGATCTCGGTACCTACTTTTCTCTGGTTTTGTGCAAGAATTTGTGGAGAACTAAAGATCTCGGTGAAGTTGCGACAGAACTCGATTGGAATTGGAGATTTCAACATCCTTTGATTCATGTAATGTGATTTTTATTGTTGAACAATTCTAGGGTTTAGATTTTCTTTTCATAAATTTCTTTGGAGATTGATTTAACTTTTATTAAAATTTTCATAGATTCAGTCATGCTTTTTCTATTGAACGATTGAAATATTTGTTTGAGTTTTAATCTCAATTATTTTTGTTGGTGTGATTCATTACTATCTTATGTTTGATGTATATGGTTATTTTTTGAATCATATTCCAATAACAAAAGTGTGAATATGTCATGGGAAGCCTAGACTTAGAATTACTGCCGAATTAAATTGGTGTTTAATGTCACATCTTCCGACTAGAGAACTAGGATTTTGTGGAGTAATCAACCTCAAAAATGTAGCATGGAAACAAGAAGAAGAACTTAAGGCTAGAAATGTAGAGTTATTTGGTGCGTTCTAAATTTCTAGGATGAAATTTATTTTGATGGGAGGATATTATAATGCCATGGAAATTTTCTTTTACTTTTTTGGGATTTTTGTGAATTTTTGGGTATTTTATTGATTTAATAATATTAACAATTTTGTCTTAAGAAATTTTTAAATATAAAATTATAATTGCATCAAAAATATAATTTTTTTAAATAGTGTTTGCAACTGGGCCCTTAATCCTCTTTTATAAATTGGGGATGGTAATGTGAAAATTACATAATTCCACGTGTCTAGAGTCAACAATTCAAAAATCAGGATTGAAGTTTCATTATTCACAAATCAGGTCCTCATATATCCAAACCCTAATTCATTTCCATAATTACTCTCTCCCTCCAACATATCTCTCCTGTTTCTGAGCTCATCGCCTTCCTCCATTCTCTCTGTACCAATCCAGCAATCAGGAATTCCTCATCTTCCCGTCGTCACCACCTGTCATCGTCGCCCAACCCCATCACCTACTCTCAATCCATATCACCCTTAATGAGCGCGAATTTCCAGCAGGAGCGTAAATTACAGTGCGTTACGGCGTTATTTCACCCACATCATGCATGTACAAATCCGTCCTTCTTCCATTTTTTAATTTTTGAGTGGTGTCGTGAGTGAAGGTTTAGTGGTGGAGGTATGCGGTACGTTGATGGTGGAGTGTCAGGTGTGCGGTGCGAGGCCAGTGCTGCGAATGTGGTGGTTGTGTGCGTACAATACGTGCTGCGGAACTATGTGCGGTGGTGTAGTGGTGGCTCTAACGGTGTGTAGTGGTGTTGACCGATTGTCGTGTTATGATAGGGGTGGCTCTGGTAGTGGTGGTGTGATGTTAGGATACTTATAATGCTAGTGGTGGTACGGTGTTGGGGGTAGTGGTGTTTTTTTGGTTGTTGGAGTGGTGGTGGTCGTTGTGTTTTGGTTGTGCTAGGGATTTTCGTGATTTTTGTTGATAGTGAAACTGGCGATGGAGGTGGTGTCGGCGACGAGATGGTGTTCGACAGTTGTGTGGAGGTGTGGTGCAGGCGATTGTTGTGTTTTGGTTCTCGTTTTTGTTGTTGTTGGTAGTGATCATAGTGGTATTGTGGCGGTCGCAGGGTGTAATAGTGATTCTGACCAACTATTTGGTTTATTTGTAACCAAGTATTGATAGGTGATTTGGATCAGGGTAGGATGTTTAGTGTATATGACCAATGATTTTGTTTTTTTTGACAAACTATCAAACTGTGATTTTAAAATTCGATAATTTGTGACTAAAAAATAATTTGCCATCAACAAATTTGAAAATATATGACCGATAGATAAACCGTGACATATAATTTTTTTGGTCTGTAACTAATGAAATAAACTGTGGTTTATAAAATTTTTGATTTATGAGCTCGAAATAATCTCTAACCAATAAATTAGTTGTGACCTATAATTATGTATATGTGACCATTAGTTGTATAATTATGACCTTATTATATTTAATTAATCAATATTTTTAATTAGTTAGTTAATACCTGATTTTTTCTTTTTTTAAACTTAAAACTTGATTTTTGAATTCTCCACACTAATACATGACGTATGAATTTTTACCGACCATAATTCTCATTTTCTGGACAAAATTTCAAAATCATCCCCAAAAGCTATCCTTCCATCATATTTATAATTATTTTACCAAGGAGACGATCCCCCAATATAAAGGCCAATCAATAATTTAAAAAAGGGGGTCGACCCCTTTGCATTGACCACAACGCAGCATTAACAATAATGACCATAACCTTTTGTACTGAGTTTGAAATTGAGATCCGTAAAAGGTTATGAATTCCTAACTTAATAAATTTTTTAATAATACTAGTAGGGTGAACGTATGTTGCACGTTAGTTGAATAGTGTAAGAAATAGGTATATGTAAGTTTGAAAGAAAATCATTTATAAATGTGAAAGATATCCATAAATTGATTGGAATTGACTTACTTCTCATCTCTTTTTTTTTTTCATATCTCATGATAATGAATTATTTGATCTGTTTAAGCTTATAAAGAACCAACCCAAGAGAAAGAGGATGCAATCTGATGGACCAAAACACAGAACATAAAAACAATTTATAAGTAAAAACACTAAAGTCGGATCCTATAAAGCAGCATATGATAAAAGAAACAAAACAGGCGAACCTAGTTGGGTAAATCACGATCGTCCATCTTATCTCCACCATTGTTTCCACCTTTATCTCCTTAATGCTTCACTACTTGAAGTTTGTCAATCTACTTTTTCTTCCATTCCTTTATTATTTTCTTCCAGGCAATGGTACCATACCCATACACAGCTAAATCTTTCTTAGGATCCATCAGGTGGGATGGAACTGCCATATCAGTTGTTAAATTAACCATCTATTCAATCCTAGCAAATTAATTAGGGATCTACTCTAGTAAATTTCAAAGAAATTACCAGTCATGAAGGAATTATAAAATGGTATAGCATGGATTCGCTTTCCCCGACCTATGAATGGTTGAATAATGAGAGCATGCTTGTCAGCTGAGATTGTATCGTCCTTCATCAAAATGCAAATTTTCATCACAACATTTAGCACGGAAAATAATGTTAACTTAATCTAGAATAAATATCATTGATGAGTCCTCCATCAAAAATTTCAACTCATAAAATAACAATAATGTGTTAAGCCTCAATCCACCTCTTGACCATAAATAAGGAGAGGAATTTCAAAGCCAATGGTTGTCATTCTCTCATTGCCATTGTAGTCAAAACATTGTAAACATTGTAAACACAAATAAAAAATCATATGACCCAAAGTCATACCCTAGTCCAAAAAAAAAAAAAAAAAAAAGAAAAAAAAGAACACCCAAAAATTTTT